AATACCAGCTCCGCCCAGACGTCGCCATGATAGAGGAACGCCCATAGATCAAGCAGCTGCGCTGCGAGTGGGTCCCTACTTTTCACCTGTTCGTACGAGATCGTCCACGTCGTAAGCACGCTCCGTTCGCCGTATTCCTGCAGTGGACACTGATCTTGATTCTGCATCAACGCCGTCCACGTCGCGTCGTAATGCTCGAGATAGTCTGCGACACTCATCCCGGTCGTGCCTAGATAGGCCCCTGCTTGGGCGAGGGCAAGCGGGAGACCGCCGAGCTTGGGCAGGAGTTGCTCGATGTCTGTTTTTGTTTCTGTATGTCAGCAATTGTATTCGCCTTGCGGTGGTATCACATACACCTACTCGTTACCGCTTTGTTTGCGCGTGTCTCGACCATCTCTGTCGCCAGCTCATCGTCGGCGACATCTAAATGAAGGCTGGCCTTTGGTAGCTGCAGCCGCTGAAGACGTGTCGTGATCAAGATGTTCCCGTGGTCGGCGTGCGGTAAGAACTCATGATAGTCGTATGCCTGATCGTCCTTTATTCTGCCTTGCCAGTCGCGGTCGATGTTGTCGATCACCATCAGCCAGTTCGTGTTGCCCGGCAGCGACAGCCATTGCCGCACGTCGTCGTCTGCCTGTGCGACGTCCATCGGCGCCAGCACTTCTCGGGTGCGCTTCAACAGCCGCAGGCCTGCGCCGGCCATCGATCGTTGGAGAGCATCTTTGGACGATCCATCCAGCCAGATCACCGCGCTGAACCGCTCTGCGTTCGTCTTTGCGAACTTGGCGCACAGCTGCGTCTTGCCCATCCCGCCCGTTCCGTATACTACAAATGTCCGCTGCTGCGCCGACTGTATCGATGTCGCTGCGAAAAACTCGCTGATGCGCTGCATCTCGAGCTTGCGAGGCACAAAATGATCCGTCGCCGGGATGCCTTGTAGGCTGAAAGGCACGGAGAACTCGCCAGGTACTGCTTCACCTTTGCGCTTTGCAATTTTATGTAGCAGTCGCTCTCTTGTCTTACTTGCGCCGTCGCCGTAACGGATGTTCATGCTAACTCCCATGATGCCAAGCAGACAATACGACAGATCCTCTGCCCGCATCGTCTCCCTGCCATCTGTCCATTTCATCTTCTCTCCGGCGGTCAGGTTGTCGCCTGCTCGGTAATCGTGTAAAATCGCCAGTGGAATAGCAGTCGCACGCGAAATCACGTCTTCCAGCGATGGGCCAGTCTGTATCGACATTCCGCTTCGCCCGCGGCCGTTATTGCCCTTGTGGCCGATCACATTCCAGTCGTTCGAGAGAAAGATCACAACGCCCGGCGCCAGCAGCTCTTGCAGCGTCCACCCGCGCCGAAACCATACGCTCTGCTCGAAGGTCGCCATATCGCTCACAGTGGGAACATCCTCCAAGTATGCTAGACACACCTCCGCGTTGCGATACCACTGGAACATCGAGTTGATCGCTTCCGACAGCTCGCGATCGGCGTGCTGCTTGATACAGCACGTGTCGACCCACAACCACTTCACCAGCGGCAGGTGTGTCCTCATGTATGCTACAAACCCTTGCACCTTGCGATATCCCGCTGTGTCCGTCCTCTTCGTCTCGTAGACATCCTCCCACATCGCCTCGGCGCCCGCCGTCCAGCGATGCGATGCGATCGCATAAGGCGGGGGAATCGTCCCGAAGTACTCCGTAAAACTGAACGTGTCGACGTTGAGGAGCCGCATGTTGCGAGTCTAGTTGCAATACTGCTCATCTGGAACGCGTTGCTAGGAGAGAAGCAGACGTGTGACAAGATCTCATCCCTGACCTGTCGGATACTCACGATGCAGCGTCGCATCCCGGCCGCCCTCTAGTCGCCTGCAGCTGCATAGTGGCGCAGCCCACACGCGAGACCTCCCAGGATCACCCGTAACTGCTCAGGCATATTTTGACCTCTGAGATGAATCCGTCAAAGACAAGTGCACGCAGAAGATGAGCTGCTAGTGCACAGCGCGTGTAATAATGTCAAAGCAGAACACAAGGCTAAGAAGAGATGTTGTCATTACGCCGAAAGGGCTCAAAAGCTGTGTGCAAAAGTGGGCTGAGCGCGCGTGA